CGGGGGGAGGCGCTGCAACTTACCTGGCTGCTTCTTGCTCTGACTGAGGGCTGCTGGGAGGAGGGGGCAGGGCATGTTGCATGTGCCTGCCCCCTGGGCTCCTTACTGCTGGAGCTCTGCTCCTGTGCGCTCCTGCAGGAAATGACCCCTGGGTCTAACCCTGAAACTCTGTTACTCCTTAGCACACCAAGCTTTCTCTATCAGCAAAAGCGACTTGCTTCTAACTAATGGCATTTTTCCTTGGTGCTTTGACATTTGCACATCATTAGTATTACACTTCATATGCTGATCTCAGGAGGCCAGTTCATTTTGATACATATATTTATTTTTTATTTTATTATATTTTAATTGACTTATATCCCGCCCTCCCTGCATGGCAGGCTCAGGGTGGGTTTATAACCTAGTTACTTATATATATATTCACTGGCAGGGATCCAAAAAGATCTCTAGCAACTGCAAAACCTTTTCACTCCTTTTGTCTGTTAGGTGAGAAGTGATTAACAACTATCCGCTGCTCAACGTTGATGTATCATAGCGATTTTATTGGATAAAAGGAAAAGAAAGGAATATTACATTTTACAGCATCCGATTTACAATTCTAAGTGCAACTGAACCAGGCATTCTCCAACTATAGCAGTTACATTTGAGTTATTACCTTTGTTAATATTATCTAGTTGGGAGCCCGTTTCTGTGGATCGTTATGCACCAAACTATGAACCCTTCATGGGTCCATGATAATAATGTGAAATTGTCCTTTTTGTCAAATGGTATATTGACTGATACAACAAACACGATTGAAAAAGATCTCAAAACGAGGTCACATCCGGAATCCTTGTCTCACGACACATGTGTATTATTGATTCCATGGCTGCATACAGAGTCTGGAGCCGCATTACTTGTGATGATGTTTACAATGCCCCTGCAATTGTTTACATATTGATTTGTACTACATGGCTCCTTTTGCGGGCAGTTCAAAGTTATGAGCCGGGTTTCATTTACGATTTTTGCTGTATGTTCGTGTTGTAACGATTGATTGTTAAATATTTTGTCTTTAAGACATTTGATAGTATAGTATTGTTAATAAAGTTTCTATTTTAGAGCAGTTTAGGGCTACATAGCGTTTATACTCCCTTCTACAGGCTAGTTGTTAAGGGCATGAGATATTAGCCAGGAAGTGCACAGTTCTAATCTCTGTTTGATCCTAGGGTTGCCACGTCCCCCCCCCCACCTGGTGGGGGATGGCGGTGGCTTACCAGATCCAGGTTGGGAAACTCCTGGGGATTTGGAAATGGACCTAGGGAAAACAGGGACCTCAGTGGGGTACAGTGCCATAGAGTCTACCCTCCAAAGCATCCATTTTCTCCAAGGGAACTGATCTCTGTACTTTGGAGATGAGCTGTAATTCCACGGGATCCCTCAGTGCCACTTGGAGGCTAGCATCCCTAGTTGGCCATGAAATCTGTCTCTCTGTTTTGGAGCATTTGGAATGGTATTCGTTTTAATATGTAAAATGATACTCCCCTGTGGAAGGCAATACTGACCTTTTTGCAGACTGGCTATATTACTGATCATGCAAAGAAGTGGGGGAAATGCCATATATCTGTATTGACCGAGATCTACATGGCTCCTTTTGCGGGCAGTTCAAAGTTATGAGCCGGGTTTCATTTACGATTTTTGCTGTATGTTCGTGTTGTAACGATTGATTGTTAAATATTTTGTCTTTAAGACATTTGATAGTATAGTATTGTTAATAAAGTTTCTATTTTAGAGCAGTTTAGGGCTACATAGCGTTTATACTCCCTTCTACAGGCTAGTTGTTAAGGGCATGAGATATTAGCCAGGAAGTGCACAGTTCTAATCTCTGTTTGATCCTAGGGTTGCCACGTCCCCCCCCCCACCTGGTGGGGGATGGCGGTGGCTTACCAGATCCAGGTTGGGAAACTCCTGGGGATTTGGAAATGGACCTAGGGAAAACAGGGACCTCAGTGGGGTACAGTGCCATAGAGTCTACCCTCCAAAGCATCCATTTTCTCCAAGGGAACTGATCTCTGTACTTTGGAGATGAGCTGTAATTCCACGGGATCCCTCAGTCCCACTTGGAGGCTAGCATCCCTAGTTGGCCATGAAATCTGTCTCTCTGTTTTGGAGCATTTGGAATGGTATTCGTTTTAATATGTAAAATGATACTCCCCTGTGGAAGGCAATACTGACCTTTTTGCAGACTGGCTATATTACTGATCATGCAAAGAAGTGGGGGAAATGCCATATATCTGTATTGACCGAGATCCAAATAGTAGATGTTCTATACATACAAAGCAACTTTGGACTTGTGTTCCTTGAGTAATGCCAGCTCTTGTGCTGCACAGCAGATGTTTTCTGAAATATTAAAAGCTAATGACAACGTGAGACAGAATTCTACCATTCAATGGCCCCGGTCAGACGTGCCGTAAAACACAGGGGGGGGGGGTGAGCGCGGCTATTTGCGCTGTCGCAGTCTGATGCGCCATTATGTGATCAGATGTGATGGCAGCTTCCCCGCAGCAAAGAGGATGACGGGGGAGCAGTGTTCCCTCCAAGCTGAGTTAGTGTGAGCTAGCCCACAGATTTTTTAGCCTCCGACTCACACATTTTTGTCTTAGCTCAGGAAGGATGGCTCCAGAGCAAACTAACTTATGCAGTGGCCAAATTGCTCACTCACAACTTTAATGCAAATAGCTCACAAAGCAGAATTTTTGCTCAGAAGACTCCACAGCTTAGAGGGAACATTGACGGTGAGGTGGTTTTTTACCGCGCAGCTTCGGCGGCTTGCCACGGGTTCACCACGGGAGTGCTACGCCTCCCAGATGTTCCCGTGTGATCACGCCTGGATACTCCGCGGGGCTCCCGTGCCTTCAGCAGGGCAAATGCTCCGTGTGAACAGGGCCAAAGTAATAAAAAAGGAAGAAAATTTTACTGGGCATGTCCACGCCCTTGACATGCCTAAGGTAGCTCTTCAGACTCCAGTCTCCATTATTAAGGAAGGCCCAGTTCCCACAAATGAGCCTGCTTCCAGTCTCAGTCCAGCCTCATTAAAGCAGTAGGAGCTGTCTCATAAAAATGATCAATTTCCCCAGCCCCACCCCACCCCATGAACAACTTTTGCTAAGTGTTGCTACTAATTGTCTGAAATAATGCAATGCTGCCTAGTATGGTTGAGTGCCTCCAGTTAACAGTAAAGATCAAATCTATGATAACAGAAACATCCTATTTTCAAATCGAACCCCAAAGATAAAAAGTGACAAATCATTCTTCCAACTATGATTGTTCAGTTGCTGCTGTTAGGGAAATAGAAATTGGTATGCCAGTAGAATTCATTCACTGTCTTTGAAGACAGCATGAAAACCATAAATACCTCTAGAATTTCCTCCTTCACTTGACCAATGAAGGAGGCTTCTGGAAGACTCACCAGCTATACTGGCTCCACCAAAAATGCTGAGTACTGGGCCTCAGGTGACTTTATTATTAAACAAAGTACACAAGTTTCCCAAAATCAAATCTACCCTGCCTTCTTGAGTGCATTTTTGTTTTCCATCACATCTTCTATATTAGGCACAGTGAATATTTTTCACAGTTGCAAGGGACTGTTGTCCACCAAAAATGCTGAGTATAAATATTTGTTAAAAGAATTTTGGTTGCACATCCCCAAAGCAATACATCAAATATATAATCATATACATACAAAGAAATGACTGGTTATCCTTCAGTTGTGATATGTGATCTTGATATACAGATCTTTTGCTTGACTTGCCGTATATTATTGCATTCTAAAATCTTTATTTCAGGTTTGTATGGTTGTGAGCCATCACGCATGGCAGTTTTCTCTTGAAATGAAAGACAGGTAAACTCCAGTTTGGCTAATATACATAAGAACATAAGAGAAGCCAATGTTGGATCAGGCCAATGGCCCATCTAGTCCAACACTCTGTCACACAGTGGCCAAAATACCAGGTGCCATATGAGTGAATATGAGTGAATGTAGGTTCATTAACGAATACTAAAGACATATCTTGGCCCAAAGCCTGAAATCACTATTGCTGATGAGTGTACAGCTGTAAAACTTCACAATAAAACGTCTCACAATCTTTGGAGAGGGTTTCATCAAAAAGTAATTCCAGGCACACATTTTCAAGGATTGCTCATTATTTATTTATTTATCTTTATTTATATTTGAAGGCTCAGGCCGGCTGACAAGGGCAACATGTGCCGAGGTTAAAACAGTAAACACATAGTTTAAAAACAATAAATTACAATACAAAACAATAACAAATTTACAAGCAGATTTAGACAAGATGGGTAGATCTTATCATCTAAGCCGTGCCCAGGCGCCTCGCTCCCCCCTTGGGGTGCCAGGCAAATGATGTTAACACGCCAGAGCATAGGGGGCAAAGGTGGAATAGTGGTGGCGGCGACTCCTACTCAAAAGCCTGGCGGAAGAGCTCCGTCTTGCAGGCCCTGCGGAACTGAGAGCGTTTAATCTTCCAGTTGAAGGACTGGCTTAATCAATAGCTTAGAACAGTACCTTGAAACCGGTGCTGAGGTCCAATAAAAGTACTTTCCCCCTGCGTATATCTTTTGTCATAGGGGGATATTACAAATCCCGGGAATAAAGTGCTTTAGTCAGACTGGAGGCAGTATCATAAGAACATAAGAGACGCCAATGTTGGATCAGGCCAAAGGCCCATCCACTCCAACACTCTGTGTCACACAGTGGCCAGAAATACCAGTGCCATCAGGAGGTCCACCAGTGGGGCCAGGACGTTAGAAGCCATCCCACTGTTGACCCCCCCAAGCACCAAGAAGACAGAGCATCACTTGCCCCAGAGCCCCTATCTATACCTTGTGGCTAATAGCCACTGATGGACCTCTGCTCCATATGC